GTTAAAGCTTAACTTTATCCCCCAAATACTACCTATCCAAGTTTGAACTCCAGGTAAGTACTAGTTAGGAATTGATACCCATCCATCTTCAGTTTTCTGAATTTATGCAGACATACTATATGTAAATATATATTGGCAAAAATATTTCCAAAAGGGGAGAATGTCCATCCCCCAAGGAGAGGAAATCACAGAATCATGTGGCCTCTCACATCCCCTCACTCTTCCTCTGGACGTAAGAGCATGAATTAGCTCCTCCTGTGTCTCCTTTAATTCCTTCTGTCTACCCTCTCCATATCCCCACCACTTTCAGTTTACAAGTTCTACCATTTATTCCTACATTGCCAGAATTTACCTCCCTGCTTTCAGCAGTCTTATTTAAACCTAAACCTAAACGTCTTTATAAATATACCAACATTAAATAAACACTTTACCTGCCCATTGAATCTGTCACCTAGTCTGGAGTGCAGTGGTGCAATCTCAGCTCACTACAATCTCTACCTCCCAGGTTCAAGCGATTCTCCTGCCTCAGCCTCCCGAGTAGCTGGGATTACAGGCACCCTCTACCATGCATGGCTAATTTTGTATTTTTAGTAGAGATGGGGTTTTGCCATCTGATCTTGAACTGCTAACCTCAGGTAATCCACCTGCCTCAGCTTCCCAAAGTATTGGGATTACAGCCATGAGCCTGGAGTGGAATCTTTATCACATTTGTATGCCTTTCAGTCTTTCCTATCCTCGCCCCTTACAACACATGGCTTTGGGTTAAATAATATGAAACCACTTTGCTTGTTGAAATTCTTCCTTAAGAGTAAGAGTGGTGGACATAGACCAGGGTGTCCTCTAGTGAGTCACACCCTTGTGTAATTCCCTCCCCTTGAGTGTGAGCTTCCATCCAAGAACAAATGGCAGTTAAGAGGTTTTGAAGATGCAGTTAAGGTCCCTAATCAGTTGACTTTGAGTTCCTCCCAGGTGGTCCTGGCCTAACCAGGTGAGATCCTTAAGAGGGTCCAGGCCTTCCCTGAAGTTCAAGACTGTAGGAGGGGCTCTGTCAGAGTTGCTGGCTTTCAAAGAGCAAGTGGTCACAAATCCTACAGCCACAGGATACAAGTTCTGCTAATAACCTAAGGGGACTTGGAAGCTGATCTCTCACTATTCAAGCCTCAGATGAGAGCTCAGTCAGTCAATGCCTTGCTTTCAGCCTCTTGAGCCCCTGAACTAGGAATTGACTAAGCAACACCTGGACCTAGGAAACTGTTGGTTAATAAAAGCACATTGTTTTTAAGCCAGTGCTGGGTAATAATTTGTTATGCAGCAGTAGAGAGCTGATGCAGAAGGCAGATCTACCGTTTTCAAGAGACTTTCCTTCACCATTAAGTTACCATTCACAATCACATTAATACCATCTATTTAGATTTATGCCTGCATTTAAAGGCATAAATCTCTTTTTCCATTCTCCATCTTCCCCTCTCTGGATATCTTTGTTTTGATTGAGTTCCTATTTGGCAGGAATGCTTATCTTAGGGTATAGGGTGCTACATTTTCTGTATCCTTGAATGTATGGCAATGTCTTTCTTCTGCCCTCAAATATAAACAACCCTTTAACTCCTAGTCCTTTTCACTTAAACATCTGAAACGCTGCTATGCTATTCTTTACCTTCATGACAGAGAGGAGCAATACAATGCTGTTTTGACTCTCTTTCTTTTTTATGTAACCTATGATCCCTTTAAATAATCTTGTAAAAATTTCTCTTTATCCTTGCAGTTAGAAACTTTATCAGGAAATCTCAAATTGTGTATCATCTCCTTCATTAATCCCACTACTGCCCTGTGAGCCCATTCGACTTAAAAATAAGACTTTCTTCACCTCACAGACGCCTCCTTCTGGGAGTTAGTGAATTCTGCTTCTGTTTCCACGTGCTCCTGCTTCTGGAGCACTCATCATTCAGACAGAAGCAGATGTCTGGAATCTCCTCCACGTTTCCTGTCTTTTCACTTGTGGGTCCCACTTTCTCATATTTTGATACCTATCATGCACTGGTTCCCCCTTTCCTTTCTCAGATCCAATTCAGTTTTGAGTAGTATACATTACTTTTTCACTTCCTTTCTTGAGTATTTAGAGCTGTTGTTGTAATTTTGTTTTTATTTCCAAAAACTTTTCTCCATTTCTGAGTTGCTGGTGGGGGCTCCCTGTACTGGCCAGGCTAGAAACCTTGGCAGAGACAGACAACATAGGATATCCCCTTCAGTGCTGGATGGGCAGCCAATGGGACCCTTATCCTAAGGCATGAGGCAGAGGCCTTCCGGTTTGGCTCTCTCAGGGCCATAAAAAAAGAAGGGGGCCAGCTCAGCCTACTTTGCAGCTTCCTTAGAGAGCAGACCGTACCTGTGAGATCAGTACACCCCTCTGCCTCCTAGGGTCAGATGCAGCACAATTGCAGCTTCCTTAGAGAGCAGACCATACCTGTGAGATCAGTACACCCCTGTGCCTCCTAGGGTCAGATGCAGCCTACTTTGCAGCTTCCTTAGAGAGCAGACCGTACCTGTGAGATCAGTACACCCCTCTGCCTCCTAGGGTCAGATGCAGCACAATTGCAGCATGCACATCCTCTCTATAAGCTGAGGGGTTCTTTGAACTCAACCGTTCATTCAGTTATCAGTTCTCTCTGGAGCCCTCATCCCCTATTCTTGTTGTAAGCAAAGGCTCCCAGCACCCATACCCTTTCCTTGAAACCCCCAAATCCTCAGGGTCATCTACCTTACTGAGTTATCCCCAGCAGAGAGTCAGGAGGGATCAGGGATATTGAATGTCAATGTGAGTTTCCACCTTCCTAGAATCTTCATGTGTTCAGAAATCCATGAAAATGTTTATAGAAATGGAAGGGCACTAGGAGAAAGAAGGAGGTTGAAGATATGTAGAGAGAAAGGTAATTGCTAGAGAAAGGTCTCAGAAAGATAGAAGGGGAAGAAAGAAGAGTTTATGGGAAAGGATACAACTTGAGCAGGATAAGGAACACATGATCAGCTAACATGGAAGAGAATAAAGCAGTAGTGGTTGTGACTGAAGATACGTTTGTAGGGCAAGAGTTCTCAAAGGGCAGCCCATGGACCAGAACATTGGCATCACTAAGAACTTATCATAAATCATATCCTGGGGCCCCACCCAGACCTAATGAATTAGAAATGTAAGGGTAGCGCCCAGCAATCTATGTTTTAGCAAGCCCACCAGATTTCTACACACGGTCATGTTTGAGAACCACTGCTGTAGGGTGTGGGAAATTAGACAAATCTGAAGATGTTTACAAATGATAACTCCCTTTTGTCCCATGATAATGGGGATGAAGTGACTTATATTCTAGGAGTGAGTAGTTCAATATGGGACTTGGGGGACATGACAAAATTTTGGAATACTCACTTAGAAAAATGGAAGAAAAATGGGAAAAAGCCAGGATCACACTGATGAATTTGCAAAGACACTAGTGGCTCATCATATGAAATGGTATTTTTTATTTCCTAGCATTGATAGCATGAGCAAAGCCTCCAAGAGAGAAAGGTAAGGGGCATATCCAGAATACATTTGATTATTTACATTTTCATTTATGAAGAGGAAATCTGCTTTATAAACATCTATCAAAATAAAGAATTTTGGCATTCGTAATTTTTTGAAGTACATTCACCACTACTAATTCTGTTATTGAAAGAATCTCAAGATATCTGGAAGCATCCTATTTTATACAAAGAAAATGAAGACTGGTCAGTTTAAAGAATTTATCCTGGCTCAACAGGAAACCAGTGGTATGATTATGGTGAGCTACCTAGGTCTCCTGAACCATTGCTTCTTTTCACTTCTTCCCAGAACCGAACCAACTCCCTACTTCTCAGTGCTCTCATAGACCCAGAACTGAGAAGTTTGAGAATGAAACCAGCACATCCTGTTGTGTCCTGGTAGATGTCAGTGGAGTTTTGTTCTAAATGAGCATCATACTCCAAAAGAAGCATCAGATCTGTGGAACATAAAGTGAAGACTTGGCCCAGCTTCAGCCCTTTTATTTTGGGACTTAAGTTTTTCAGTGTAGCCTACAAGGCATGAGACTTGCCAAAAAGATTACTAAATTAAGGTAGGTTCATCCAAAGAGAAGCAACAGTGAGGGCAATGCAAGGTCTCCAGGCAGGTGGATGGTATCAAACAAGCAGCAATAGGAGCGGGCAGTTAAGTGAAACGGCTATAAATAGAGCCCACAAAAGCCTTACAAAATCTCAACCCAGTCCTGAAGTTATGGCTTAGAGAAACGTGTGCACAGCTGATAAACAGGCTCTCCTGGCACAGTGCCATCGGAGGGTATCTGGGCTCCAGGAAGCCCTGCCATCCACAAAACGTGGCAGAGGGCAATGGAGAGGCTGGAAGGAAGGGCTTTAGGAACCATGCTGACCAGGATTATACGGGGAGAGAATTACCGTCCACCTCATGGGGTTGTTGGGGGGCATTTAATGAGCTATGCACATTAGGGGTTAGAACGGGGTCCACACATCAGAAACACTCTGTCAATGTCACCTGTTTTTAATGAGCATTAACTTACTAGCCAATACATGAGTCTCCACCTGCTTCCTCCCCAAGAAAGCACAGCATTCTATCTCTGCATAAGAAGCTTTATAGGGAAGCATCCTTCCTCTTCCCCATTTTTCACAGCCATGGTCTCTGACTTATGTCTGACAGTCCCACCTTAACATTACTTTTTGTTTTCAGCTTTTTACACATTCTACAAAAAAAGAGAGCAAGGATCCAAAAAGAACAGGACAGCAGAGAAGGTTGTTTTTCAATCTATCAGTAAGAAACCAGAGACTTGCAAATTGGTCTCCTTGGACGCATTAATCATGCCAGCTTCAGCATTTGATTTTTATTCTGAACAATTCATGGTCCAATTAGAGGTTTATGCATTTACACTGAGAAATACATGATGTCATTTAGAGCCACTCTGGCACGGGAAGGCCAGGCAGCCTCTCACCTTTGTATTCCGCCAGGCACACACACTCATAGCCATTAACCAGGTCCCTGCAGGTGGCTGCGTTCAGGCAGGGAGCAGAGAGGCACTCGTTATATTCCTCCTCACAGTAGAGGCCATGGTAACCTGAGGGACAGAGAGAAAAGCCTGCTGTCAAATGCATCCCATTTACAACCCACCCTGGACCAGCCTGCAAGGAAGGCAGTTGGGGGTATTCATTGGAAAGTATGGCACAAACAGATGGGATTTCAGGAGTAAGATCTCTTGGGGTAAAGTTGAAAGGTGGATTGGGGGAAGGCTATGAAGAAAGAGCCTCTTCTTATTACACTTTTTTATGATACCAAATATAAAAGAAGTGATTCCATTTATCCACTGACGTTCTCATCATAGTGTGTTTAATGGTGCTGGTGTTAGGGAGATCCAGTCATTGAGTGTGTCTGCTGCGGCCTTCAGAGATAGGGAGTGAGCAGGACTTATGCGAGGGGAAGAGCAAACAGCTCTCTTCAAGATTGAGAACCTGGCTGGGCGCGATGGCTCATGCCTGTTCCCAGCACTTTGGGAGGCTGAGGCAGGTAGATCACTTGAGGTCGGGAGTTCGAGACCAGCCTGGCCAACATGGTGAAACTCTGTCTCTATTCAAAATACAAAATATTAATTGGGTATGGTGGCAGGCACTTGTAATCCCAGATATTCAGGAGGCTGAGGCAGGAGAATTGCTTGAACCCAAGAGGCAGAGGTTGCATTGAGCCAAGATTGCACCACTATACTCTAGCCTAGGCAACAAGAGCAAAACTCCATCTCAAAAAGGAAAGAAAACAGAAAGTGTGAGAACCACATTAGGAAAATATATCTGTATTTCCTTTTCTTTTCAAGTCAGAAAAGAAAAAATTAGCTCAAAATGCTTAACTGAAATTCTTGATGAAATGTGCAGGTTTTTGGTTGTTATTGCTTGTTTAAAGATATGATTACATCAACTATAATATTTTAAATTACTAAATGTTTAAATTACTAAAGAAACAATAATGTGAGTGAAGAAAAAATAAACCCACAATTTCTTCATAAAGATGGATTTTACCCTATTTGCAAAACAGGTGTTCATTCTAAAGGACAAGAAGACAATATTCTTTGAGACTCACTCATGAGGGCTATGCTGCTTTCAACTTTGGAAAGCATGTGTTACTGCCAATTTGCAGTGAAACCAGACCATTTTTGTTCAGCCCTGTCCAAACAATGAAAAACATGTGAGTGCTTTCAAAAGTCACGTTGCCTGTGTTCGTTCTGAATTCAGATAAGCAGAAAAAATTAGCCCTTACCCAAGTAGGAATTAGAACCACTAGCTTTTCCTAGCCTTTCCAACACACAGCCAACTCTCAAACTCAGAAAGTCCCATGAGAACATGCTAATATGTTGAACTGTTTCTTGGGCCTATCATAAAAGTAGGTTAAGCTCATATCTGCATTATTAACACAGCACTTTTCAAATACGTTGACATTTCAGTTGTTTTTGAACAGCTTTCCAAATTTAGGTTGTAATAAAGGCCCCTTTGAGGAGCCCTTGACCTACCTAAGACAAATATACTATGGTTTTCAATTCTTCTGAAAACTAGTATGCTACTCTACTTTTTATAACTTTAAGGAACTATTTCTATTAACCTTCATTAGATTATCTCCATTATGTAGACAGGAGGTACTCAACTAGCAGCAATTTTGACCCCCAGAGGACATTTGAAAATGTTTGGAGACATTTTTGGTTGTCACAACTGGAGGTAGGGGGAAGGGGTCGCCGTTGGCATCTAGTTGGTAGGATTAAGAGTGCTGCTAAGCACCCTATAGGGCCCAGGGCAGCCTCCCACAACAAGACTATCCAGAAAAAATATATCAATACAGTCAGGTTGAGAAACTCTGTTCTAGACCAAGGGTCAGCAACCTATGGCCCACAGATCAAATCTATCCCAGGCTGTTTTTGCAAATAAAGTTTTATTGGCACACAGCCACATCCATGCATTTACATATTATCTATGGCTGTTTTCACACAACAACAGGGGACTGAATGGTTGCAACAGAGGCCATATGGCCTACAAAGCCTAAACATTTACTATCTGGCCCTTTACAGAACAAGTTTGCTGATTCCTGATTTAGATTCAATGGAAGATCTTTCTTTTAACAAGTTTTGAATATTAACCCCTTATCAAATGTATCATTTGCCAATATTTCTTCCATTCCATAGGTTGCCTTTTCATCTGTTGATGAAGATTTCTTCTGTTTCCTTCGTTTTGCAGAAACTTTTTTTGTTTTTTGTTTTTGTTTTTTTGAGACGGAATTTGGCTCTTGTTGCCCAGGCTGGAATGCAATGACCCGATCTCAGCTCACCACAACCTCCGTCTCCTGGGTTCAAGCGATTCTCCTGCCTCAGCCTGCTGCATAGCTGGGATTACAAGCACCCGCCATCACACCCAGCTAATTTTTGTATTTTTAGTAGAGATGGGGTTTCACCATGTTGCCTGGGCTTGTCTTGAACTCCTGACCTCAGGTGATCCACCAGCCTTGGCCAACGTGCCGGGATTACAGGCATGAGCCACCATGCCTGGCCATCCAGAAGCTTTTAAGTTTGAAGTACCATTTGTATATCTATGCTTTAGTTGCCTATACCTCAGATGTCATGTCCAGGAAGTCATTCCTAAGGCCAATGTCATAAACTTTTTCCTCTGTTTTCTGCTAGAAGTTTTATACTTTCAGGTCTTACATTTAAGTTTTTAGTTCATTTCGAGTTGGTAGTCATGTGTGGCACAAAATAATACAAATTACCAGCAGTTATATGAAAATAACCTCACTAATTAATATCACTGCTAATCAGGGAAATGCAAATTGAAATAATAATAAGATATCACTTCACACCTGTTAGGACAGCCATGACAAATAACAAAACAAACAAAAACAGAAAATAACAAGTGTTGGGACAGATTTGAAGAAATCGGAACCCCTGTGCACTGTTGGTAGGAAGGTAAAATGGTACAGCTGCTATGGAAAACGATGTAGAGGTTCCTCACAAAATAAAAAATGGAACCACCACGTGATCCAGCAATTCCATCACTGGGTACTCATCCAAAAGAATCAAACACAGGATCTCAAGGAGACACTAGCATTCTCATGTTTAATGTAGCATTATTCGCAATAGCCAAGAAGTAGAAACAACTTGATGTCTATTGACAGAAGAATGGACAGGTCAAGCAAAGGTGGTACAGAATACAGTGGAGTATTGCTCAGAATTAAAAAGGAAGAAAATTTTGTCACGTGCTACAGTATGGATGAACCTTCAGAACCTTATGCTACTTGAAATAAGCCAGTTGTCTGGGTGTGCTGGCTCACACCTATAATCCCAGCACGTTGGGAGGCCAAGGAGGGTGGATCACAAGGTCAGGAGATCGAGATCAACTGACCAACATGATGAAACCCGTCTCTACTAAAACTACAAAAAAAATTAGCCGGGCATGGTGGTGCGCAACTGTAGTTCTAGCTACTTGGAAGGCTGAAGCAGGAGAATCACTTGAACGTGGGAGGCGGAGGTTGCAGTGAACCTAGATTGCGCCACGGCACTCCAGCCAGGGTGACAGAGTGAGACTCTGACTCAAAAAGAAAGAAATAAGCCAGTTACAGAAGGACAAGTACTGTATGGTTCCATTTCTATTATGTATTTTTAAAATAATCAAATTCACAGAAGCAGAAAGTAGAATGATGATGGTTGTCAGGGTCTGTGGAGGGGGAAAAATGGAGAGCTGCTGTTCAATTATTTAAGGTATTATGTGAGATGAATAAGTTCTAGATATCAGCTGTAAAACAGTACGTGTACAGTAAATAATACTGTAATATATACTTAAACATTTAAGAAGGTACATTAAATGTTGTGTTTTTACCACTATATATATATATGTATTATTAAAATATATTTTAACCACTGTTATATACATACATATATTTTACCACTATCTATCTAAATGTCCATCAATATTACCTACTACACATGTAGTGGGTAAAAAAATACACAACATGAAATATATGGAGAGTGGTAAAAAACATACAACATGAAATACATATATATGTAGAGCGAGGAAGAGAGAGGTAAAAATACATACATATATATCCATGTATATGTAAAGAGTTAAGTGTCTTTTGCTTCTCCTAATATAAGAACCTTTTTGAGGTCATCGTGGAGCGCAGTCACCAGCAGCGCCTTTTCAATTGCATTTGCTCTCCTAGAAGATCTTTTAACAATCAGCATGGAAGAGTAATATATAACCATAACCCTGCATGCATCTTTGACCTCTGAATTGAGGTGGTACTTAAATAGACAAAAATCAAAAAAGCGAGTTTTGCAAAATCATCTATAATTGTTTCCATTTTCAAAAACAGTAACGTTATCTTTTTATACTAGCAATATGAAAAGCAAATGAGGAAGTTATTTTACAGAGATAATTAGGCTGGTGATGTTTTTCTTCCTTGGGGGGAAAAAAGATAAAGGTTTCATATTCTAAAACTGTTTCTTCAGAGACGGTAACATTTAAATGTCTTCGTGGAAATGTCAAGGCACCCTTTATACTCAGTGCCAAGCAGCCTCAATTGGACTGTTTGAATAAAAAGGCACTCCTTCCAAAAGAGAGGGCTTCTGTGAAAATAAGGCTGTCACCCCCTGCTGATAATTAATTCACCCAAACAAATTAGCTCAGGGCGGTATGCCAAGGGTCTGAAAAAATATTAGGTTAGTCCAAAGAATTTTTTAAAATAAAATAAAAGATCAAAGTGTAGGATCAGAGTGGCCCCTTCCAAGGCACTGATCTTTATCAGTACTGCTCCCATCATTGCATGATTTGCTCCCGAATAATCAGTTCCCATTATTTCTTTCAAATTAACGGGGCACAGCAACCAACCAGATGTGGGGAGTGAGAAAAAGCGGTCAAGATGGCTGCCATTGTTTAGCCGAGTGAGTGGATGATGTCATTATCACCAAGAGGTACCACCAAAGGAAAAACAGGCTTAGTTTGGAGAAAACAGGCTTAGAGGAAGAAAACTGGTTTAACTTTGGACATGTTTAGATTGAATGCACTTGGGCAGGTCCAGGTGGCAGTTGGAAAT